GATCGAATATATTCTGTTTTTTTTTCAGCTTATTGTCCACTAGGCTCTCACGTCCGATAAATTCTGCAAAAACGGATAATTCGAAGGATTGTCACAATATTCACCGGTGAAGATGCCAGCCCAGTTTGAGAGTGCGAACAGTCCCATCGCGAGGGAACCCGCCATGATAAACGGCAACACTCCATACTTCAAAGATGATATCGTTATCAGTGGTTTCTCGGGTAACAAATCCTTCCTTAATCCTTGGTGAGAGACTCTATTCGAGTCTCGAATCACTGGCACTATTTAAATTCATGTATCCGCGGTCGTATATGATATTCCAAAGTCTACAGCTGAATACCTCTTTGAGTCTACTAAATAAATATGTACAAATATAGAAAATGTATGATAAAATGATGTCGTCAGTACTTGGTTACAGACATTGAATTGACGTGGGATTAAGTAACCTTCATTCCTCTAAAAATTGTAAAATGACGTAAAATTGCGTTACTGGTATTCAGCTAAAGAATTTCAATCAACATAGGAGTACACGACTGGTCCGAATGTGTTCAAATAGAGTATCGAGCCAAGCTTCTAACAAAATTTATTTGATGTATACGCGAACTTATATATTGTTAATCATTTGCACTCGGAAACTTCTCACTAGAAACATTCAATACTTTCCGATGAGACATAGACGTTATTTGAAACGAACTAACGAGGAAACATACGTAAATTAAGAAACAAGCTATTTTATATAAGCATTTCATATTTCGTATCGATGCATTATACAAAACTTAATATTATATATAATATACTTTGTAATTTTGTTATATCCAATGAAACGGTGACTGAGAATCATCTATCGAGTGCAAAGAGTTAATAGAAAACCTAGCGACCCGCAAAATGTATTTAATTCAGTATCTAATTTGTACAACCGTTTTCAGGTCGTTTCCCCGAGTCAGACAGCGTAGAAGAACTGAGAAACAATTTGTTCGACGGTGTCGACATGGTCACCGACGATGAGCGTCGGTGGCCAGCTGGTATCTACGGTTTACCAAAAAGAACCGGCAAATTGAAGGACATCAACCATTTTGATAACACCTTTTTCGGCGTCCACGCGAAACAGGCCCATTTAATGGACCCGCAACTTCGGCTGTTACTGGAAGCAACTTACGAGGCGATAGTTGATGCCGGTTACAATCCACAGGATGTCAGAGGATCGAAGACCGGCGTGTTCGTCGGTGTTTCCAGTTCAGAGTCGAATGAAATGTGGACGAGTGACCCGGAGAAAGTCAACGGTATGGTTCATAGTTATTAATTGTCCGATATAAAGAAAAATAGGTAATTCATGAAAATGTCTAACCAGTATACGACCTAATCACGTTATTAGTTTGTGTTATTAATGCATATGTAATCCATCTTGTTAATAATACTTTAAATGTTTAACACGTTCGCTACCAGTGTCACATATTTGTGATGGCCGTAATCCTATATTTTACATAATGAAAATGAAATTAATCCTATAGATATTGTTATTAGAAATTATAAACTATGACATTATACTTAGGAACTTGACTCGTTTCAATTTTATTTTTCTAATATTTTGTTTAGAGATTTATTGGATTGAAGGAAATATTATAATTGGGGAGACCGTCACCAAAATAAGCGCTGATAGCGAACGTGTTAAACAGACTAAGAACCGCAGTAGGCTAGTCAGTACAGAGAAATAAAGATTTCAATGAGATTTAACATTCTACGAATGTTACGAGATTCAATTTCTTGTAAATGAACAGAAATTCTGTCTAATATTCTTTTGTATAAATTAACGATTACCTTTAAACGAATATATATTTATGTAATACTTACTTTTCCAGGATATGGATTAACCGGTTGCTGCAGAGCGATGTTTCCGAATAGGGTATCGTTCACATTCGACTTCAGCGGCCCAAGTTATGCGATCGACACCGCTTGCTCGTCTTCGTTGTATGGTATGCACCAAGCGATCAGCGCGATTCGTTCAGGGGAGTGCGACGCCGCCATTGTTGCCGGGTGCAGTCTGTTGCTGAAGCCCACAGCCTCCCTCGAGTTTCACAAGTTGAGCATGTTGTCGGCGGACGGTGCGTGCAAAGCGTTCGACGCTGACGGGAAAGGTTACGTTAGGTCTGAAACGATCGGTGTCTTGTATCTACAAAAGTTGACGGACGCGCGCAGAGTCTACGCTACAGTGGTACACTCAAAAACGAACACGGATGGCAACAAAGTCGAGGGTATCACGTTCCCCAATGGACAAATGCAGAATAAATTGATGCGCGAGGTCTACTCGGAGGCCGGAGTGAATCCAGCGGACGTCGTTTACGTGGAGGCTCACGGAACCGGGACAAAAGTCGGTGACCCACAGGAAATCAATTCTATCGCCAATTTATTCTGCAAAGGCAGGAAAACGCCTCTTCTCCTTGGTTCGGTTAAATCGAATCTTGGTCACGCGGAACCAGCCAGTGGAATGTGTTCCATGGCAAAATTGTTGATTGCCATGGAAGCAGGAATAATCCCCGGCAATCTCCATTTCAATAGTCCTAATACGGAAATACCGTCGCTACTGGATGGTAGTATACAAGTTGTAGATAAAAATATACCGTGGAAAGGTGGCCTAGTTGCTGTAAATTCGTTTGGTTTCGGCGGAGCCAACGCACACGTACTTCTTCGTAGTAACCCGAAGCCAAAGCTATCGCCAGTCTTAGATATTAAATTGCCCAAGTTAATTGCTGTATCAGGCCGTACCGAGGAGGCCGTGCAGGTTCTTCTAGACAAAGCCAAAGAACATGATAAGGACGATGAGTTCCACGCTCTGCTTCATGATACTTACGTGAATAACATAACAGGTCATCTTTATCGAGGTTATTCCCTGCTAGGTGGTGCCGAAGAAAGTAGTCAGTATAACAGCTCTGAGAAACGTCCTGTTTGGTTCATATTCTCTGGTATGGGATCTCAATGGGCAGGCATGGGCAGGGAATTACTTTGCATCGAGCCATTTAAGCAGAGCTTGCAACGTTGCGCCGATGCCTTGAAGCCTGAGGGAGTTGATCTGATGAACCTTATTCTGAATGGAACACCCGAATCGTTTGAGAACGTTATACACTGCTTTATATCCATCGCAGCTATGCAAGTTGCCTTTGTGGACCTCCTAGCATACATGGGCATACATCCTGATGGTATCATTGGACATTCGGTTGGTGAACTGGGATGCGCATACGCTGATGGTACTTTCACGCCAGAACAAACCATACTGGCTGCCTACTGGAGAGGAAGATCCATTCTCGACTCGAAGTTGGCACCAGGAGCTATGGCCGCTGTAGGATTAAACTGGGAAGAGACTAAGAAACGATGCCCGCCGGACGTTATTCCAGCGTGTAACAATTCCAGTGATTCCGTAACCGTTTCCGGCCCAGTCGACTCTATTCACAAGTTCGCTGAAAAACTAAAGAAAGAAGACATCTTCGTGCGTGTAGTGGATAGCTCTGGCGTCGCGTTTCACAGCAAGTACATAGCTGCAGCCGGTCCGAATTTACGTTCTGCTTTGGATAAGATCTTACCGAATCCAAAACCACGAACCTCCAGATGGATTTCTACATCCATACCCGATAGCGGTTGGGATAATCCATTGGCTAAACTCAGCTCAGCAGCCTATCACGTAAACAACTTGCTTTCGCCTGTATTATTCAAGCAAGGATTAGTTTACGTGCCTGATAATGCGATCACAATAGAAATTGCTCCGCACTGTTTATTGCAGGCAGTTTTACGTCGAGCCCTACCATCAAGCGTGGTCAACATCGGTCTACATAAACGCGACCACCAAAACAATGTAAACTTCTTCCTCGAGAATATAGGGAAATTGTACATGGCGGGTGCGCAGCCTAAAATATCCAAGCTGTATCCACCAATCAGTTATCCCGTTGGTCGTGGTACACCAATGATCAATTCCCTGATTAAATGGGATCACTCGACTGAATGGATGGTTGCGAACTTTTGTAAGAGTGATGGCTTATCTGGTGAAAGTGTAATGGAATTCGACTTGTCTAAGGAATCGGACACGTATATAGCTGGCCATGTAATCGATGGGAGAGTTCTTTTCCCAGCTACTGGTTATTTGGTAATTGTATGGAAGACCTACGCTAAACTCCGCAACGTTGACTTCGAAAAACTTCCAGTTGTGTTTGAAAATGTGAAACTTCTACGTGCCACTATCATGCCCAAAGAGGGAGCAATCAAATTCTTTATCAACATATTCATGGGCACTAATGAATTTGAAGTCAGCGAGAATGGTTCTGTGGTAGTGACTGGTAAAATATATGTACCAGAGAATGCTGAAAAGATGCTGTTAAATCTACCTACACCGGTCGTACGAAATGATCCTGAGCTATTGGAGCTAAACACAAAAGACATTTATAAAGAACTGAGACTTCGAGGCTACGAATACACTGGAGATTTCCAGGGTATTGAATCTGCCAGTAATCGTGGTGGTACCGGCAAGCTTCACTGGACCAATTGGATCTCGTTCATGGATACCATGCTTCAGATGACTATATTACAGAAGGATACTAGATCCTTGCATGTACCAACTCGTATACAGTATGTCGCTGTTAATCCTGCTCTTCATATGGAACTTGTGAATAACCAGAAAGAAGACGACCCTATTCCAGTATACTATTACAAAAACATTGATGTTATTAAGTCTGGTGGTATTGAAATAAGAAAGATGAAAGCAGCATTAGCTCCAAGAAAGCAACAATCTGAAGTACTTCCAAAATATGAGAAATATACATTCATACCTTACGTTAATCCTCAAGCAACGGTACAAGATCCTGAAAAAGCTAAAATAAATGCCCTTACTATCTTGTTACAAATTGTTTGTGAGAACGTAACAGCATTGAAAATGAAATGTATGGAAACGACCGATGATCGTCCCGTAGACGCTCTCTTCGTAAACACTGTTTTGAATATTCTTTATAGTGAACCTTGTGTTACTGTAAGTATATATATTCTCAGTAAAGGTTATGTTATAAGAAATAAATAATTTCTCACGGGTTATTAATTCTTCCAGGCGGATTATCAAATTGCTGCTTCTAGTATCGAACCATACTCCAGTTTGAGTGCACAGAATATAAAAGTAATACAACGAGATACAAGTGTTGCACCCATAGGACAAGATTTACATCTAATTTTGAGTTTTAATGTACTGTCCAAAAAATCTGATAGTACATTGGAACATTTGTCCGACAGCCTGAATGAAGGAGGATTCTTATTGCTCGAAGAGTCCGGTGCGATTAATTTGAACAATTTGAAGTCCTTCGATCTAATATGTGTAGCTAAACAAACGGTACATGGAAAGTGTTACGTACTTCTTAAAAAAGAAGAAAGTTTGCCGGAACCGATCATCGTACAAATAACAGAGAAAAACTTCAATTGGTTGGGAGGTCTTAAGGCGGCGATGAAGAAGGCATCAGAAAATCAACAGGTGTTACTGGTTAATCAAGGCGAGGAATTACTCGGTAAATATTAAAATTTATGTACATTAAAATGCGAATATCAGTTGCTACATAATAATAATTTTGTCTTTCAGGTATGGTTGGACTTGTAAATTGCATCCGTCGCGAGGAAGGTGGCAGTAATGTCCGTTACGTATTCATTCAAGACAAGAACTCTCCTAAATTTAATTTGAAGGACAAATTCTATGCCGAACAATTAAACAAACAGTTAATGGCTAATGTCTTGAAAGGAGGAAACTGGGGAAGCTACCGTCACTTACTTTTAGACCAGCAAACGGGTGCATCGTCCCTTCAAGTTGAACACGCGTACATCAATGCTTTATACAGAGGCGATCTAAGCAGTTTACGGTGGATCGAGAGTCCGTTGAGCTACTACCAACCGGAAAAATCTGGAAACACAGAACTCTTCCATGTATATTATGCCCCGCTGAACTTCAGAGATATAATGTTAGCTACTGGAAAACTACCACCAGACGCTCTTCCCGGAAACTTAGCTAATCAAGATTGTATATTGGGTCTTGAATTTTCTGGACGTAACTCAAAAGGTCAACGCGTCATGGCTATGGTACCTGCACGTGGTTTAGCAACCACTGTTGTAGCTGATTCAGGATTTTCGTGGATTGTGCCCGACAAGTGGACTTTGGAGCAGGCTTCGACGATCCCGGTTGCCTATGCAACTAGTTACTACGCCTTATTCGTTCGAGGTGGCTTGAAGCGTGGCGAAAGTGTCCTGATCCACGCTGGTAGTGGTGGTGTTGGACAAGCTAGCATTTCTATAGCTTTGCATGCAGGCTGCACGGTGTTCACTACAGTTGGTACACCAGAGAAACGAGAGTTTCTAAAGAAAATGTTCCCTCAGTTGACTGACAGGAACATCGGCAACTCTCGTGACACCAGCTTCGAACAACTGATAATGAATGAAACAAATGGCCGTGGTGTAGATGTGGTGCTAAATTCGTTGGCTGAAGAAAAGCTGCAAGCCAGTATCAGGTGCCTCGCCGAGGGTGGTCGGTTCCTTGAAATTGGCAAATTCGATCTGTCTAATGACGCGCCTTTGGGAATGTCGTTGTTCTTGAAGAACACCGCGTTCCACGGAATTTTGTTGGATGCTATCTGCGAAGATGATGGTCCAGACAGGAAAGAAGTGGTTAGGCTTGTCCAAGAGGGAATACAAAATGGCGCTGTTCGCCCTCTTCCGTCGACCGTCTTTTCAGAACAGCAAATTGAACAGTCTTTCAGGTTTATGGCTACGGGTAAACACATAGGAAAGGTTGTGTTGAAGATTCGTGACGAAGAACCAGAGAAAATTGTAACTAATCCCGCTCCGAAAATAGTGGCCGCCATTCCACGCACCTACATGAATCCAGACAAATCGTACATATTGGTTGGTGGTCTTGGTGGATTCGGTACGGAGCTCGCTGAATGGATGATCAATCGTGGCGCGAAACATTTAATATTAACATCGCGATCTGGTATACGCAACGGGTTCCAAGCCATGTGCGTTCGCCGTTGGCGTGAAGAGGGTGTTACCATCAAAATTTCAACGGCAGACGCAACAACATTGGCCGGCGCAAGACAGCTGATTAAAGAGAGTAACGAAATCGCCCCTGTCGGTGGTATATTTAATTTGGCAGCTGTTTTAATCGACAATATAATTGAGTATCTCGATGAAAATGATTTCGCGAAGGTGGGAGGACCCAAAACCATTGCTACCAAACACTTGGACACTGTGTCCCGAGAGTTATGTTCTTCGTTGGATTACTTCGTTGTATTTTCCTCTGTTTCTTGCGGTAGAGGTAACATTGGTCAAACGAACTATGGTCTCGCAAACTCTGCTATGGAGAGAATAGTTGAACAAAGACAAGCGAGCGGTTTGCCTGGTCTCGCTATACAGTGGGGAGCTATTGGAGATGTTGGATTAATCTTAGGTAAATTAATCGTTATTGTTTCACACTTCAGATTATTTGTATATTGTACGCTTAGTGTAATACATTTTTTCGGTTTTGATTTTTACCATAGATTCCGTTGGCGGTGACAACGATACGGAAATTGGTGGTACACTGCCGCAACGTATTCGTAGCTGTATGGAAACCTTGGATATATTCTTACAACAACCCCATCCTGTTCTAGCGTCGATGTGTGTTGCGGATCATCGTAAATCTCAGGACTCGGCAAATAAAATCAGTATAGTCGAGGCCATCGCCAATATTTTAGGAATTAAGAAGCTAGAGGGCATTAATTACAGCATCACGTTAGCCGATTTTGGAATGGACTCTTTAATGGGAACAGAAATAAAACAGACGCTGGAGAGAAATTACGACGTAGTGTTATCAGCGCAGGAAATTCGTAATCTGACATTCGAAAAGTTGAAATTGTTCGATGCTGGTGTGGGTGAACCTTGTGAGAGTGAGGGACAAGGAGAAGCTGAAGAAGAAACTGGTATACAATTTTTGTTCCAGTCGGATGGTGTAGAACTTGTACCTACAGAAACTCTTGTACCATTAAAGACAAAAAGTTCTAAAGGAACACCTATATATTTTGTTCATGCCATTGAGGGAATGGTTGGACCTTTCAAGGGCTTGGCTAGTGAATTGGAACGTCCTGCTTGGGGCTTCCAATGTGTTAAAGAAGCTCCAGTGAATAGTATAACGGAACTAGCTGCCTTTTATATACAAGAAATGAAAAGAGTTCAAAAGAAAGGACCATATCACATAGCAGGTTACTCTTTCGGGGCTTGTGTTGCCTTTGAAATGGCTCTTCAATTAGAAGCTGCTAATGAAACAACAGTTTTAACTCTTCTGGATGGATCTCCAGAATTTGTAAAACTGCATTGCATCGAAATTGGAAAACATGCTGGTCGGTCAAGACAAGACGTCACTGAGGACCGTTGTCGGAAGACATTATCATTCTTCATTACGCAATTCAATGGGAAGCTTAGTTACATTGAGGTAATATATTTCTGTCCTTTTATGTGATATAAATGAGAAATACTTTAAAAACAGCTTCAATGGTATTTAAACAATAAAGAAATTTAGATAAACATTCATTATAGGACATGCTGGCATCATGCATAAATATTACTAATCAGTATTCTATTTATTTATTTATTTATATTTGGTATTTATATTATATTACTATTCTCATTTTTTTACAGGCGTATCAGATTTTGAAAGAGATGCCTGATGATAAAGTATACGACAAAATGGTGGAAACAATAAACAATCCAGATCTGAAAAATGAGGACTTGAAAGCTGCTGGTCTATTATTCCACAAAAAGCTGGAGGCAGCTTACTATTATGTACCAGCTGCTAAGTTACAAGGAAATGTTACGTTAATAAGAATACAAGACAATTTTATCCATCTGGAGAAAGATTACGGTTTATCACAGGTAATTGTTATCTTTAAATATTCGATCTGTATCCTAATGACATTGTATATTTACTATCAAACTAAAAATTGAATAGAAGCTGATTTTTTCAATTGAATATTTTCAGATTTGCGGAAAAGAAGTGATAATCCATGAATTGCCTGGAAACCACAGAAGCTTGTTGACGGGAAAGAATGGTACAGACATAGCAAAAATACTTCACACGTAAACTTTACATCTACTTATATGAAAACATCGGAGAATCGAGGAACACGCGACATTTATCAGTTTCGTGTAGAGAAGTTTTAGAAAAGTATCAATGTACAATAATATTGATAGAGCTCATTTTACAACTTAATTATTAATATTTAATAATTCTTAGACAATCTGTGTAAAGTTCCTTTTGTACAAATGTTTCTTCCTTGAGGTTTCCACTCGCCTTGTTCATTCATCACTCGCATTAATTTATAAACCGAACTTCTGTGACAGCAAAGTATTTAACTTTAGCGGTTCTTTTTTTCATTTGTAATATTTGTGAGGTATTTACTACGAACGGGTATTACTATAATTATTTCACGGATCTTAAGTATAAATATTTAAGTGAACACCTATGAAAATATCTACTATAGGTCTTTGTAATGGTTTCCAGTGGACAGGTTACCATTGTTTAAACCTATAGAGTATATATATATATATATATATATATATATATATTTTATATATATTTATTTTGTTCCATTTTGCATTAACAAATGACATTCATAATTAGATCTCTGGGGATCCATGACATTTTTACACAATAGAAATATGTGCAAAATTAGGATAAAGCTTTTACAGAAAAAAAACAATGTTTGAAAAATTTTTTCAATATTTCCAATCTCACTGTACATGACACATTTGCACATGACATAAATACTTAATGTATCGTTGAAGGCAAACATTTATAATATCTTTTCATTAATAGTAATAATGAGAAATTTATTAATTTAAATAAACCTGTAAATGTTTCCATCTATATTAATTGTCATGGAATATATGCAATCTGCACTTGTTATATCTCTTCTTGTATTATATTGATAAGATAAATAAAGAGCATTAAATAAGTTAAGTTTCGTTAATTAAGTTCTGAATACATTATTGATATGTTTAAATAATAGTACACCCGTCCCTCGATTTACGTGGTAAGTTGTAACACTACACGTACTTTTTATACGTGATCTCAATTTACACAGCCATCATCATTTATTTGCGTAAAAATGTAAGGTTCAGGTGTATATATTTGTCTTGTATACAGTAAACAGTGATTTCTTCATTAACAATGCAAATGACGTCAAACTTTTAAATATTTCAAGCGATGAGGATAATGAAATTGAGTCACTTGAAAAGGTAGATCTAAATTGAAGTAGTGAGAGTGATATCGATTAAACATTATTTTTGTTTTCTGAAACATAATTATTATTATTACTATTTCTTTTTGTTAACATATGTGAAATAAATATATATTTTTACAACTTGTACCGCCTTTACTTTCCAATATTTTCTTTTGTGCTAACAGACGCTTTTTACATGATTTTCATTCGCGCGTAACGAATCCATACGAATGAAAAGGCGAAAAAACGTTATCTCTTACAAATAAAATTTCATTTGAAAAGGAGGTTTGCTAAACATCAGTTATAAAAGATTAAATGGAATGTGCTTTTTATACACATAAAACAATTTATTTTTCTCGTATTTTACGGTAATTTGGATCAAAAATTGCAGCAGTTGGATCACACGTGAATGATACAGTTAACGCGTATCGAGTTCCAGATTGTACTTTCTCAACTGCATGTAAATTTTCACTACCTGAAGTAAACATGGACACTCTACCTGTAAAACGAATTTTCAATCGAATTTATTTGTCTGTCTTAAATGTAAGTATATTATTCCTTGTTATAACGTTTATTTACCTTTGCGAGGTTCCACGGTTGTATTAACATTATCTTTATCTATGAATATGAACCGACCACCTTCAAAATCTCTTCCGAAATCATTCAGATACAGTAAGGACGTATAAAAAAATGATTTATATGTTTCCTTCAACAGAGATTAGGCAAATAAATAAAAAATATAATTAAGTAATTAACAGTTCTTAATTAGTTGCATACCTTATCAACATGAGGATGCCAGTATTCATCATGTATTGTTTTTGCAGATACATTAGTCATACGTGAAAAGAATGTTGGCTTTGTTAAATATATTTTATTAGCGGGTACTCCAAAGTTATGTCCTATTGCATGTTGTATTTTAGTTTTTACTACTCTGTAAGTACAAAGTACTTTTTAGTAAGAGAGGAAATGGTTTTCTAGGTTCTATTACAGAACAAAAGCATACTTATAGATTGCAAGATCTGCGTTATTAAATATCCACTTAGCTTCTGGCAATGTATAAATATCAATGAAACCGTTGCCTTTACTCAGTGCACCGGAATAAAGGTCTAAAATACTTGCGCCACCATTCGAACCACCTAAATTCAAACCATTTATTGCTATCCTTAACAAAACGTCTGTTTCTGTTGATGATACTAATTTATCTGTAACTATTCTCCCACACTTTTCCGGTACACATTCAGGATATTCATTTACTTCTGCTTTGTAATCGTCTGAACATTCAACGTATTGCTTACGGCTCAATAGAATCTCCTTTTGCTTTGCAAAATAGACTTCTTTACCCTGTCTGCTGTTATACCATACTATGAACAACACTGCGAGTATTAGAGCACATCTTGACCATATCCTTTGATATGGAAATGTCACAGATGGACCATATTTTCTGAAAAATTATATATATTTCAAATTTCATTTAAAAAGATGAAAATGATTAATCTTTACTATGCATAAACATTCATAATTTAATATATTGTAAATTATAAATAATTTTTATTATTCATATATTACTATAGGAATGAATAATAATATTCTTTAAAAAATATTTTCAAACTGAAACTATTGCAATTAATCTAAACTCGTCTAACCTAAATAATTTGATTAATATTTTATATAAAATATTATTAAACAATCGCACATGTAATGTTATTTAAACTACATATAACATATTATGTAATATCATAATAAATAAATAAAAAATGAATGACATGTTGAATACTACATAAGAAATATAATTATTCATATTACTTACAGGTTGACATTTTCTTTCACAGTTTCTTTCACATTTTCCTCTGATTTCTCTTCCTTTTGATTTGTTTTCTCTTTCTTTATTTGCTTCTTTTTCCCTTTCTTAATTTCTTGCGACATTTTCCAATATGTTCAAGAAACTTACTGTAACGACATTTTACTGGAAGCCCACACGCATGTCATACGAAAAATCAACATTCTGTTTTACACTATACATCATAATCTACAATTCACACATACTAGATATCAATGACCTAGCATTTCAGAAAGTATTAATGAAATAATAAATAGTGATATTTAAAATACAAATGAACATTCATGGGTAATTCAAATAACATCGATTCAAATAATATAATATGAAAATATGGATTTCTGACACTGAGCAATCGTCGTGACTCCTGTCGCGAATTGAAAAGGTAAGGTAATTAACCCGATATAACGACATAATATTCTCGATCAATTATTTTATTTATTGAACAAAAAAAATGAAAAAAATATATATATGCTACAAGATTACAAATGCGAACATTTTATTTTCACTTCATTTCTTAACATTACAATATTCAATAGGGAAACCAAGTCATTGGTATATTAATACTATTACTGTAAAGATCAGAAATTGCACAGTTTCATTTTTTACCCAACTGTCAAACATTCTGTCATCCGACCATACGGTCACCAACGCGATGACGAAAGGTTAAAAACAAAGTATTGATGATGTTCGTTGAACGATCCCAATGCATCCTAATTGCATCTTAATGTTTCGTGGGTAACCGAAAATGTATAGTGAATACTCTATTAACCGATAAACCGATATAAACCAATATTAAACTTGATCCCATAGCTTGGCTGACACGTACAAAACCTGGCCGAAATTTCAACGGCTTTCAACGGCGACTAAGGAATGAATTCGAGGGGATTGGCGTTCGAAGAACCTCCGGTAGTTCAAGTTTCAGTTAGTACCCGTAACCATGACTACACAGCAAAGCATGGCCGCTCGATTAACAGTTTGCAAGCGAACGTTGCGCAGAAAGGTACATAATCAAGTACGTGGAATGCTGGCGATTCACGACGCGATCAACTCTTGTAAGTAAAATTTTAATTAAAAACATTCCATCGCGATTTTCACGAAATTTTTACGCCTCTCAAGCGACCTTCACCCCCTGTTGATCGCACTTCCGGTTTAGCTGCCGCAAGGGAAACATACTTACAGGCGTCGTCTCAATTCCAAAATCACAAAACATTTATTTATCATTGTCATCGCAAAGTAACCGTGTTTTTTATTGCGTCAAGTTTTATCGAATGTCGATTTCCATTTTTATTTACTTGGACATTCACGACAGAATTTTTTTTTATTAACATTATTTCTACCGGAGGTGTCGAAAGACACGAAATTCTCAATTCAAATTATTTTCTCAGTTCAATGATTTTTCCTCGATTGAATTTTGGCTTGGAGAATAATTTTAAGTGAAAATTTCAGGTGTCTTCTGGCACCTTTGGTAGTTCAATTAAAAAAATGCAACGATTACGCTGTGGACACTTATGAAAATTTACGTTGTAACAGACCACTTTACAAAAGATGTAATCGAGAAACGTTTAATTAGGATAAGAATATTATAATGCTTTGTTAAAGATATATGTACACTTGTGGTTATTTTAAATGTATAACACCTATGATGCAAAGATTATTAGAATTATTAGAATATGTTTTGCCTAATATAATAATTTTCAAAACTGGATTATACAAACACAAATATCCGTCGTAATAATACGGTATGATCGAAAAGTGAAAGGCTGTGAAATATGATTGAAGACAAATAGTGAGTCAGAGCCTGCCTTATAGAAAGGGACTAAATCGATGAAACTGTTGCGGCCCTTTTGTTACTCAAATATCAGTAGATTACCGGTTTGAGTTACTGAGTAGAGTATTAACAAACAATCCATTTCCTTTTACACACCTGTTTACTTATTTTCAAGAATAAATTAAATGCCTATCTTATCTTAAAACGCATATACACAAATTTACAATAAAATTCATGCAATTTCACAATATCTTTTAACAGGTTGAATGCCGCACGATTTTAAGGTGCAGAATATGCGAAAGAAAAACGATACAATATTAAATTGTCTCATTAAATTGCGTTGTTATTATCGCAAGTTTATTTTGCCGAATGTATTTTGCATTATTTACGATATAGGAATGTTTCCAAATTATCATCGTTTAATTCAGGAAATTGCAGCAATTGAATTTACTCAAGGGTCACCGGTGATCCCTACGGCATTCAACGTGTCAACTTGTGTTACAAAGAATTCCCTTTTTAATCGTTAATACACTTTCTCCTTTAACGCCTGAATAAAAAAGCGATACCGATTTTATTTTTACTTCCAAACGAGGAGGTCAAGAATTTCTGTAAAAACGGTCTCTGCAACAGTTCGCCTCTTTTCTCGGTATCGCGAGACCTAAGAAAATCTATATCCTCGCATGTCCAACTGGCCAGTGAGATCCGCATGCGAGCGTTAAGAAAATGCTAATCTCGGTCTACGCTGTTTCTGCGCCTTCTAGGGCAAACCCATTTGTTAAACCTTCCTGGACGTAACTGGGTCATCGCATAGATGGTCGAAATTTACTTGATGTATTGTTTTACATCACACAATGTCAAATATCGCGTCCACGGATCACCACCAGTCAGAAGAATAATTTTGACGATTTTAATTGGTACCAATGCAGCGTCTGGTCCTCGAATGAACCCCTAACTGATATCCAAAATCTACCAAAAGAAAAAATAGAATCGAGTAGATGAGTACTTAGGACTTACATTTTGCTATAAAAAATTTGTTGTTTATAATCTGTTAAGAATATATCATTTGTTTTCGTTGTTCATGAGGTTATTAGTGGATCCATTTTACTTTCGATTTGACTTCTAAAGTGTATCTCACTTATCTATTCTAAGTGTCCTTGCCTAAGGGCTAGTTCACGAAAGTTCTTGGTTATTCCCGTAACTCGTTACCTTTGATAACTATAAACGTTTCCGTTTAATATCTCATAACAGAATAATAATATTTAGTTTGAATTCAGAAGAATCGTGTAATACTTAACTCGTTAACGCTAGATTTATCAGTATATACTAAATAAATTGCGAAAATTGTAACTTCGACAGCAGAGTATTGCAATGTGTATTCGCATAATTGCACAAATTAAGATCGACTGAAACCGTTACGAAATAACGTTTAGAAAATTCGATATCCATCAAATTGACGGGTTCCGTGAATCTAGTGTTAAATTCTGCTTAAAATCTTCGCCACGAGTCTGACGTGTCATTACAAGGCAAGGGGTTAAAAGTTCTTAGAATTAGTTCTTCGCATTCGATATATGCTTTACCTCTTACCAGCAACGGGGGGTAAATACATGCTCCGCCGTATTCGTTTTGTTTGTATAATAACACGTTAGCTTTTAGTCGATAAGTTACGCAGTAAAAGGTGTATAGAATGTCGCAACGGAGAATGACGAATCGATTGTCCATCGGCGCACAAATCATTTCTTAATCAGGCTGTCGGAAACCTGCCACATTGGACGAAGCGTAGAACCGGAAGTTCTGAAAGTAGGACACACGATTAGAAGAAATATCAAAGGGCAACGGCTGATTATAGACTATGTAACTTCGACGTCGACGTTTATCCATTCCCCGTAACTACTTACTTACTTGAGTCAATCTCTTTCTTTCTCTCATGACGTTCTCACGCGTTCTCGACCACTCAACACTTCGCGAATTGGACAACGTCTACAGACCAGTGCGCTAAGAACTAAGTTCATTCAGTCCCGGTTATCCTTCGTTTCTTCGTTTACATCCAAAGCTCTCGAGTCATCGAGACTCGACTTGTCAGACTTGTGCCAAAGATTTCAAACAGAATTGAACAAATACGAATATCGCTCAATTCTTTCAAGTCCGAATTAACACGTTCGCTACTAGCGCTTATTTTAATGACGGTCTCCCCAATTATAATATTTTCTTCAATGCAATAAATCTTCAAAACAAAATATTAGGAAAATGAAACTGAAACGAGTCAGTGAATTTCTAAATATAATGTCGTAGTTTACAATTTCTGATAACAATATCCATAGGATTAATTTTATTTTCATTATGTAAAATATAATTTAGAAAGAACGCGGACATAAAATGAGCGCGAAATTTTGTTTCTCTTTCAACGAATCGGCAACAATGAAATAGCTCTGTCGAGCATAATTGCAAAAGAAATCGTAGGTGCAATGGGTTGAAGAGGATTCTTGTAGTTTTTCTAAATTCAGATAGATGAACTTAGTCCTGTTTCGTGCCTTCCCGCGATCGTTGAATGGCCGTTGTCATCGTTTTGAGAAGGTAACTGAAATTTAGTTATCACCGCGTATATCGGAGCTGGTAACGGTTTTCGCAAACTGTGCAGGCACCGGCATGCTATTCCATATTTCACGAGGTGTATGTCAACGTTTACCGTCGTTGCCTTTCGTTGTTAGCAACGGTATGAAAGTTTTAACGTAGGCCTTTAATTCGTTCGTATCGATTCTTCAGGGATAGGCAAGGTGTATCTACGCAACCCCCTAATAGGATTGATATCGTTCGAGCATTATAGACCGTATCAATCGATGGACAAATCGGTAGTGATCGGCTCACCGTAGTTTATCGAACTGCAATAGCGAACAAAAGCGACGAAGCAATCCTTTCAGAATAACTTTGTTATGATTCTTCTATTGCAAGGCTGGATGATTCATTCGAAAAACTAGCGTTACCTGTCGATACGGTTTCATTCGTATAAACGTGTACAAATTCAAATCCATTGCCTTGTAAATATCGAGAATAGCTCGTGTTTTTGCAAACCTTAACAAATCGATTCGAAGTTGTTTTAATGCTCGGGTCAACAAGTTAGCGAAGTTAAGCTTACAAATTATGAATCAAATGAAATTACTACGATAATGTATTCCCTTTGGTCGATGTTGTATAGATACTGCTAGATCCACTTTGAAAATAGCTGATAAGATATTCGAGAAGTAAAATTTTCCAAGATTTTAATTGCTAAGATCGATAAGTAGATGTTGGAACGCTTATCGGAGTGAAGCGATCTTGATAATCGCGTAATTGGGTTAATGTTAGAAAGATAATCGTATAAGTATTAGATAATCGTATAATTATATTATAAAAACACTCACTCGTGTTGGTAAAACGAGAAAAATAAGAGGCAGATTTCGATGGAGGTCCATCGGTTTGTAGCAGAGCGAACGAGAATTTCGATCTGAAGTAACATCGTAGTAAAGTAAAATCGTTGAAGTTTATTATCATTAAAGATGGTGGCATTTTTAAAGAGGAGTTGGATTTTCTTGGAAAGAAAACAAGAATTCATGAACTGCGACCCGGCAAACTTGACCATCGTTAAAAATCAATAGCAGACTACTTGTGGATCGACTATGAAAGGTCGACGCGCATTCCGTATTAATGGTGACACGTGGGGACGTCAACGGTCAACGCAATCAGACCCGTATATTTCCTTACTACGAGCGGTAATAATCTAACAAAAAAATTGGAAAAGATTCGTCAGCCCATCCTTCGATCAATTGAACACAGAACTTACAAGGAGAGCTCGATCGAATATTACTTTCTGCAGGTTCACGTACAAACTCGCTCGCTTATGACACTTTTATGCAATTAATACATTTGCGAACGGTAAATAGTTCGCTTGTCTAATACCTGTTGCCGGTGAAAACGAAGAGAATCTTAAGTTAATTGCCGCCGATTTCTGACATTAACGCAGGGACAAAAATTGAAAAATTTTAGTTGAAACATTAGTCTTGCAACGATTTGTCGTTTGAAATGAAGAATTGTCTATTGAAGAAGTCGCGAATGGAAAAGAGCAGAAGAATAAAATATTTTAGAAGTTATTATGTTAGAAAAGACGTGAATTCATGGCAGCGGTCGCGAATGTATTAATATAGGGGAATTACCGTGGACAGTTTAAACGATTAAAATGAATAGCGCGAAAAACGTTTAATAGGCTGATATTAGACCATTTCATTAGATCACCATGCAATTTTTCATGACCTTCATCCTATAATTCCCAAGTAAACACTTCAGCGTAATCTGCACGTTGCGTTCCCCATTGGAATTTCTAATGATCAACACGTTCAGTGCCACATGTACCAGTGTGGTACATGTGAATTTTTGTAAGAAAATATTTTTAAGGAACACATGGTCAAAAATAGCGGTATACGTTACCGAAAGCACCGAAAACAAAGAAAGAATATCGAAATATATAAAAATGACCAAAAACTTGAATATAACTTAATATTTTATTGAAAAAATAACTGAAGTTCATAAGAAAAATATGACCGAAATTTCCGTGGCACGGAACGTGTTAATAGACTTCGTAAATTTTTAAAATATTAAAATTGAGGCATAAACTGTTTAGAAATAAAAAAAATTTGTTAAACCTGGAAGGAAATGGATTAACGAATCGTGAACAATTGAAATTGATGCACGTATCGTTTCAGGAATTAGTATAATGTACAGGCAGGATCTTGGTAGTCGAGCCAGCTGAGGAGCTGAAGGACTTGCAAATATCCCGAAGCGGCTCACACCGATGAAGATGAACCGATACATAACGTTGAACCAGCTGGGCGACGGAACGTTTGGTTCCGTCGTTCTTGGCGAACGCATCGATACGGGGGAGAAAGTAGCCATAAAAAGGATGAAGAGGAAGTACTATTCCTGGGAGGAGGCTATGAACCTGCGAGAAGTTAAAGTAAAATATTTACCATTGTCGCTCGTCGTGCGAGTATTGCGTCGCGGAACAAAACAGTTGAAGATGAAAGTAAATATGTTTCCCCATACAGTCGTTGAAGAAACTCAGCCACGCGAACGTGGTGAAGCTGAAAGAAGTGATACGGGAGAACGATGTACTTTACTTCGTCTTCGAGTACATGAAGGAAAATCTATACCAATTGATGAAGGACAGGTAAGGCTGACGTCTATTATAAATGACCTTGAAGTGTCCCCGATCGTTTCAATATGGCCATCAACGAGTGATACGCTTTTGACGTTATTACGTAGGGACAAATTGTTTCCGGAACCAGTGATCAGAAATATAGTTTACCAAGTGCTGCAGGGGCTAGCCTTTATGCATAAACACGGGTTCTTCCATCGCGACATGAAACCAGAAAATTTATTATGCATGGGACCGGAACTGGTGAAGATCGCCGATTTCGGGCTGGCTAGGGAAATTCGATCGAGGCCACCCTACACGGACTACGTATCCACGCGATGGTAATGATCGTGATTGTCTGAAACAACGAGATATCGAGGATAGATGATTTAGAAGTGATTGATACGTATTTCAGGTATAGAGCGCCAGAAGTATTGCTCCACTCGACTACTTATAATAGCCCAATCGACATTTGGGCAGTGGGCTGTATCATGGCTGAATTGTACACATTTCGACCGTTATTCCCCGGTAAAAGTGAAATCGACGAGATCTTTAAAATTTGCTCCGTAATCGGCACGCCTGAGAAGGACGATTGGCCGGAAGGGTACCAATTAGCTGCGGCTATGAACTTTAAGTTTCCAAACTTCACACGCACGTCTCTGAATGTTCTGATACCAAATGCCAGCCAGGAAGCGGTGATATTCATGGAAGATATGTTGCAGTGGAATCCTATAAAGAGGCCTACAGCACAGCAGTCACTGAGGTAGATACAGTTTTGGCGAATAAATGTGGATGATAGAGGCCAGGATCTACTTAAGTATTTGTTTTTAGGTATCCCTATTTTCAAGTCAATGCTCCACGCCTGATCAACAGTAAAAAGATTGGTGTTGCATCCCATCGTGATGTGATACTAAATAAAGTGAACCTTCCACCACCAGTAGAGATCAGGTAAAATATATTGTCTTTGTACTCCTTTGGATTCTATAGTTGTTAATGTAAATAATTTGTGCCAGAGCTCAAGAAAAAATGCAGTCTCAGCAACAACAACAACAGCAACAATCGATGTTACCATTGCTGAATCACAACAATTATGTTCGCGAAAATAATGCCCCTAAATGGGATGAGGATGATTTTGCTGAACTTCTGGGGTGCGTTGCCAGAATTTAAGTGGACATCGTCCATCCGCGGATTATATGTAACCTAATCCTCTAATTGTCCACGTCAGAAGCAAGATCGTTCCCGAGAACGTGAATGTAAAGCTTGCCCCAGATCGAGTGTACAAAGAGAACCGTGCCAATTGGAACGCCAATTATTTGCCAGAGAGTCTAACGCAAACCAACTGGACGTTACCGGCATGGAATGAACCAGCTGCTATAAACTGGGATCAATCACAGTCTAGTCTGAAGAATGGCAGAAAAGTGTCTGCAAAACAACACTACCTCAACGTGGCCCGGTACGTCGCTGGGCCCAGTACAAGCCTGTCGTCAAGGTATCAAAAGTTAACTAACGCGTATCCTGAACTTCTATCTGCTAATAATATTGGGATACGTACTGATCTGCTGTCTACTTTGACGAGAGGAATTTCATAAGCATATCACGTATTCGATTAATTTCCCGACAATTTCCTAGAACAGTAACCATAAAGTATAACATAATTTTTTAAAAATTATGAATTAATTGGTTTAATTATAAGAGAATGAAAAAAGCTATGAGTGTATGAATGTGAACGATATCCTATTTTCTTCTGTAAATTTAAAGTAATCGATAAAAGTAGAGTCATAATCCTATCAGGCTGTGTTGTTTCTAATACTTATATTCTTTTACTCTTGAAGAAATGGTGATTCTGACTCAAGCCGACCTAAGTTAATAAGAAATTTGGTTGCTCAACCCCTAGAGAAGTATGAGCAATTCACAGACTCTTTTTGGGTGCCCAGGAATTCCATTGAGAATCAACCGAAACAGTATTACCTTCCAAGAAATCGTTACATTACGGATCAAACTTTGAGATTGCCGTATCCCAGTGTTTATGGTACACAAAATATCAGTAAGCACTTGAAAGTGACTTAGATTTTTCATGTATATTTATGTAACATTTATTATTATTAAAAGTGTATTTACTTTACAGAAACCACAAACAAAGGAACACTTCAACCAGGAATATACGGAAATGCGGTAAACGCAAAAGGTAGTGGAAGTCTTCATGGTAGAATTGACTGGGCTGCTAAGTATCTAAACTAACTATTTTAAAACAGTTATATATATAGCTTTAAATGAATATACTTCTTTTTTAAGGTAACTTCAACTGTGATAGAATAATATTTGTCATTTCATTGCATCATAAAAGAGATTTAAGTAAACGACACAATGCTCTAAATATAGAATTTTCAGGAATGTAATCACTTTATTGAGTTTACTTTTTCAAGCTTTACAAGTGATCACATTTTCAGATGAAACACTGTGGTATTATTTGTCGAGCAACCAATATTTTAGTAATATTTACTACTATTCTTTTCTTTTTGAGTTGTCTATTTGATATAATGAAAATTTTATAAAAGCCAATAACGACTAAACAATAATGATTAAGAGTGTACTATTTGATTTATAAAAAATATAGTAGTTGGATAAGGTATATTAAAGGAAATATTATATGTATATACATATTTATTATTTGTACATATTAATTAATTGCGATATGGAGTAGTTTTTGATACACAAATGATTAATCTAATTAAACAATTACAACTACTCTTGTATTCGTCATTGATTACAATATTTTCCTTGAATACATATCAAGGATTGTTCAGAAACTTACTCCATAACGCATCTGATACAACGTTTGAAGAAAGGACACTATGATGAAAAATATGATATAAAATGAAATCATTTTTCATATTTCCTACACATAATCTGTAAGAAGCATTCTTATAACTGTACATTCATAATCATATACCTCACTCATTTCATTTGACTACCGTTTCTTTAGTCGTCTTATAAACGAACTTCTTAACATGTTTTTTTTGTAATGGGTATCACCCTTGGAATATTTTTTTTTATATAGTTTTGATAGATATATTTTGGAACTTATACGTTTACAGTGTAAGTTAAAAAGTAATAAAAAATATGCTGCTATCGCATAAGAAATGACGAGAAAAATATCTCTCCCTACGACGCATTTGTAAATTTGAATAATTTCATAAAAATATTTCATCAAAGGAACATGTCATAAAAAATTCATTTAAAAATTATTATTCACTCGCGAAAATTTGTACACATTATATCCCTGTCTCCAACATCAA